CGTGTTAGATGGGGAGATATTTTTACTTGTCTTGAGTTTGCCTTCACTGGGAATCTTTGACACCCCTTTTCAGTATGTCTGGCTCACAGATATAGCCACACAAGTGCAGCAATGAGTGTAACAACACTCATCAAAACAGCCACAGCATTTTTGTGAGTCAAGTCAAGTTGTTCAAACTAAAAACTGATGCTAAGCACTGGTTATTGAAATAGAGAAAACAGGGTGCTATGTAATAGAATTATAGCAAACGTTTGTTTATTTGAACTGTGTGCAGGTGTGTTTTTCAATGTTTTTCTCCAAATATGTCAAAGTGGAGAAGACTTGGAAACTCTGAAAATTTTAAAATATCTGTGTTATGAAGCTGGTTTGTAATTGCCTCTCTACTTAAGGCTAAAGTTAGTGTTGCTTAAATAACTAAAAAAGAAGGTGTGCCATCTAATCTATTCAGATCATGTCATGAAGAGGGATGATCAATCCGCAGCCAAATAGGTTTGAGCACACCAACAACCAGCTTTACCAATGATGTTTGCAGTAATACGAAGTCTTTGAGTCTACCTGTAGATTGAATGATAAAAGATGGAAGTATTTTAAAAGGTAAATACTCAGGTAAACTTGCCTTTTGCTCAGATTATTGGCAAACAGCTTTCCCTAATAAAGAAAAGATCCATGGTACTGTTTTAGTTCTCATTCAGAGCTATGTGTGTTTTCTTAAAATGTCTCCAAGTATCAATGCTTTTTTTTTTCATTTTTCTAAATAAGGTAAAGGTATTAATGCTATCTTAGAATCAGCTGACAAGCACTGCACAGACACAGATGGAGGATGTGAACATCTCACTTTGTTTATTTCAACTGTTTTCCACCAAATGGGCGTTAGGTGATGGTGGCTCAGGATGTAGAGGTTGTTTCCCTTGTAATGGGTGGGTGCTCTTTCAGTCCCTGCTCTGTTAGGGTGTCCTTCTCCTGCCTTGCCTGCTGTTGGTGGTCCAACTGTATGGCAGCCTCACTTACGTTAGAGTGCCCCAGGGCAGCTGCAGATAACATTTAGCTTACCTCTATCGGTGTGTGGATGTGTGTGTCTGACTAAATATTGTGTGAAGTGCTTTGGGGTCCTTGAACTTGATAGAGCACCATACAAGTACCAGTCATATATTATTTGAGCAGCAATTTTATTGACCAGAAAACAGCAGTCCCAGAATTCAACCAGATGCAAAAACTGACGTTTAAATGGTTTATTAAGATATGAAACTGGTGCAGGTCAGCAGGGATTCACCAGAGTCAGTAACCGGAAATCTGAAAGGAGGTGACAGTAGAGTGACCTGGCAGAAACAGAGGGCAATGTTTCTAATGTTTGCATTCTGATTCATTAACTTTCTCAGTGTTTGAGCTGTGAGAGCTTCTGAAGAAGCTAGGTGACGTGTGAGATCACTGATGAATTTCTGTGTCGAATCCGTCCAGGTTGGTTTGGAGGAATCCTTCTTTCACAGTTACTTGTTGGTCCAGGGGAATGCACAGGGTCAAATCCATGAGAGTAGAAACAGGCAGCATGATCAAGGTGACAAACCAAAGTACAGAATCCAAAAGTCAGTCTAGAGTCAGAGCCAAGTGATCCTAGATCCAGACGGGGGGGATTTACCATTAGGCAATACTAGGCAGTTACCTAGGGCCCCAAGTTCCTGGTGGTCCCATAAAACTCTGTTTACGTGTATGGTTAATACAACTATTCCTTATTTGTGCACATTAAATATGTTTTTGATAAGAATCCTTTCGCTAAAATGCCATCAGAACACGTATAATATTAAATATGTCTCAGTGTTAGCTTAGTGCTTGGAAAAAATCTTTCATTCCTTTTGAGACAGAATGAAAAGTAAGCGAAGTACAAAAAATAAAGAGGAAAACAACAAGAAAAGTGAGAAGAAGAGAGGGGCAAAACATAAAACAAATAACATATGTCTATTCTATTAAAGTTTCTGTATCTGTATTATGCATATGTTTTATGTGTTATGTGTCTTCCCAATTCAGAGGGCCCTATTCCTGTCTTTGCCTAGGGCCCCAGATTTCCTAAATCAAAACTCACCGATGGATCGTAATAATCCTGCACTAGTGTCTGGTCTGAGAGGTGTATATATAATCAGGTGAGCAGGTGAATCTGATGTAGGCTGATTGGGAACAGGTTGGAGATAGAATGATGAATTAAACTAGCACTAGTGCCAAGAATCATGAAAACAATTTGACAGATAATACATTCTCAGTACTGGTAGTGAACCAGTGTCTGCATTGCATAATCAACATGTTTAATCCATGTTACAAAAAAATGCTCCGAATATGAATATTTTCTATGCATTGCATTTCATTGCAAACTGATAATATTTTCTCACAAAACACAAAAACAAGATAATTATCAGGGTTTCAAAGTGCACTATTTGTGTATGTCTTTGTATCTCATTACATTTGAAAGCATTTTTTTGTTTTTTGGAGTAATGTGTCTACTGCGCAGTGTAATGCTGATTTCTAGCTGTCCTAATACATTGGGTGAGACATAAGTGAAATAGTGGAGCTAAGTAGGCAGAATCTCATAAACTCCTTTGCTTTCCTTTTCCTCCGTCTGTATCATGTTACCGAAACATCTTGCTGACAACACTGCATAACTGCCTCACAGTGATGACAGCAGGTTATGCAAAGCAAGTCATACCAGCAGGTTAAAAGAATGATCCCAGTTGGCTCCTGCAACCACAGAGGAAATAATTCATTTGTAGAAAACATACAAGGCAAATTATTTGTATTGGCTATGATTTACTTTCAGTCATTCAATTCAAAATCTTTAAGAGCATTTCAAAAACATTATTGAAACAAGAAGTCACATATCTGGTCATTTAAGGTTGATACAACCAAACACATCACACTCAGCTCAGGCATCAAACCAATTCCTGTCTGAAAGATAATTTTTAAAGAACATTTTTAAATTGGTTTAGTCATGAGGCTTGAACCCAGAGGAAGATAGAAATGAGATTAAACCCCAAGGTCATCAATGAATAAGTGCACATATACTTACAAATCCTTAATTTATCTGTCAAACTAAGGAATATTCTGACCTAGCACCAATTGCTTAACAAATAATATAACATTTTCTGATAAGGTCAGACTTTCTATAATAATTAGTTTAGCAAAAGAGTTGGTAGTCCGAAAAATTTATAAACATACAATTAAGTAGTTTTCTTTATATTTTTCCAAGATGTTCACTGCTGTGTTTTAATTCTTGGCAAATGGTTTTATCTGCAACATTAGCTGAATAAAAATAATAAGCCATCTAGTACCAAATTTTAGGTTTCTTTTGTTTTGTTTTTGTTTAAAAAATATGGTTTAAATACGGGGCAGTTGCTTTTTGTATCTCTGCTTCTGTCTCCTTGAACACCACTCAGCAGACGGCCACTCACACCTAGCCTGGTTCTGCTAGAAGTTTCTTCCTGTTAAAAGGGAGTTTTTTTTCTCTCCACTGGTGCTACAAGCATGCTTAGTGTGAGTGATTGGCTTTGATAAATGAGTCGATGCAATCAACTGGTTATCCTTAGATAGAAAGTTTGAATCCATTTGACTGGATGATCTGGTGAATTGTAAAGTGCCTTGAGATGACATGTGTTGTGAATTGGCGCTATATAAATAAACTGAATTGAATTGAAATACAGCCTGGAAATATGTGGACCTTGAAGAGGTTGTGTTTAAATGAAAAGGACTTCATAACAACATTTTTTTTTATTGTTTCTAAATTCATTTATGATTTCAATTAAGTCAAAAAATTGAAACAGAGATTTCTGTGATAAGCATGAACTTCTTATGATCTTTTTGGCGAAGTCATCAGTATTTCCAGACCAGAAATGCAGCAGACATTTTGAAAAATGTGCCCTTTAATGCTGTAATCAATTAGTTTTTTGTTTGTTTTTTTTTCCAGCAAACAACTCTACTGTGGTTCAGCCACTGTTATTACTATGTCTCCTAACTCTTATAGCTGTCTATGAAAGTCATTATGTTGTACATTTTATTTTGTGATACTCTTGATTCTAACCTGGTACTGAATTACCCCCTATTTGACCCTAGAATGGGATGACAAAATTGTCCAAATGAAGTTGTTTATAGGCCAGCAGTTTTCAAAGCTTCTGCAGTCTGCTGTTTTATTGCTCTTTCTGAGCTAGGCTAACAGTAAGGGTGGGGTCAAGAAAACATGAGAAGGGCATAATGTGAAGGCACTTAAAGCTTCATGTTACAATGCTGTGACAAGCTGAAGTTAGTTAGTAGTTTGTATCATTCATTTAACCAGAATTAACTCAATTATTTTGTTTGTCAAAAATGACATGCCATCAACGTAAAAAAACAAACAAACAAAAAAACATGCATCATGACACACAGAAACAACAATTTCACGATTCATAGAAATACTCCTTAAGGAATCCAGGTAGCATTAAATATTTGGGCATTTGCAGGAGCCAAGTACAGACAGTATCTGTCCTTTAAAGTTGGCATACCTTCCCTGAATCATAAGAGACTTCAGTTTGAAACCCTCTGGCTTCATATTCCAGGTAGCAGGAAAAGGAACATCATTTTTACCCAATCCAGTTCTGGCCTTTGGGACCTGGATCAAGATAATGTCCAGCCAGCAAAAACTATAAAGGTAGAGTTAAATCTGCCTCACCTGGAAAAACAGGTCAGCTTTTCTCCTGTGGGAAATCACTCCGTTTCAGAGATAAAGGAGTGACCCTCTCCTTAGTTCATTTCATTGCTTTAAAGACAAAAATATAATTTCTGTATAATGATTTTTTTATTAATTAAAAATATTTGCAAGACAACATGAAAAATTTTTTTGATTTGCACCCAGCTGCCACGTTTTTCTTTCTTCTTCATTGTAAATGTAATTCAGTCGTTAATAGTTTTAAATAAATCAGCAGGTGGGAGGTTAAGCCTAATGGTTAAGGGAGGGACTTCGCCATTGTACCATTCCACCCGTGGGCAGCCCAGATTCCACTCAGGACAGATCTTTTCAGAGGCTGGATTCTGTCCAAACAGATGAACATCCCTCCCCAGATGCAGACCTCCTATCATGGATCTCATTGTTACAGATGCCTTTGATAGATCTATCAAAGATCTAGTGGCTGTTCGATTCTCGGAGTAATTTCTTTTCGGAATCTGATTTTTTTTAATTATTATTATTCATTATTTAGGGACACTTTGTTGGATGGATGGACATCAAAAGTACAAATACGACTTTATGGAAGCTTATGGATTTATTCACTTCATCCTTTTGGCATCTAGGCCTAAGGAATCTCTAGATTGATTGGAGGAAAAATTAAACAAGAATGTATGGAATGAACCAACGTTGTTTTTACATGTAAGTTGACTGAGTCTTTAAATGTGTGACTGTGTAAATTCCTGGATAGGTGTCGAAAAGTCTTCAGAAAAACAAACAAACAACGAAAGTCCGGAATTTGTCGCTCTAACTAATTTATTATTGTTTTGTTTGTTTGTTTTTTGCAGATCTTTTAATATTTTTGTTCTTTGGTGCCACGCTCAGGTGAGAAAGCTTAAAATGTTTGAAAAATATATTGTTAGAATTGTAACAGAAAGACATGACGAGTTTGATATTTTGGCTAATTTAGAAAACCAAGGGCAATAAGATTAACAGCGCATTGCATCCCAGATTAGAGACAGACGCAATTATGGATTTTATTTTTCCCTTTGCATAAAAAAGGGGGAGAATCACTCGTCTCCTAATTTTAACCAGTATGTGAGGACGCAGGGCGCATTGACGGACCAACTCAGCCGCAGGCAGGTCCGGGTTTACCAGCTCTACAGCCGCACCAGCGGGAAACACGTCCAGATCCAAGGGAAGAGAGTCAGCGCGACGGCAGAGGATGGAAACCTGTACGGTAAGAACTGAACCCAAAAAGGCTGATGTCCTCATATTTCAAAAACCTCCTCAAGTCTCCCGAGGTAATGATCCTAAAGTTGAAATGTGCATTTTCACCAGGGAGTTATAAATATTTCCCTTTCGTGTAAAGATCTAAGTGTTTATTATTTAATTGTAAAATGCCAGAATAGATCATGTGAATTGTTTTGGTTTGTCCAAAATGAATTTGATTTTTCAGATTCAAGCCAGACATCCTGGGGAAATCAAATTATGACATTTGAATCAAGAGTTGCTCTCCAGAAAGTAAATAAAGTAGCAAAAAAAACAATTGATAGCCATATTTATATTATAAATATAATTTAAAAAAAAAACGGTAGTCTAGTGATAAACCGATAAAAGCAATTAATGGACTGTTAAGGCTGTTCGTTTAATCAAGTTGCTTCCAAAGGTATTTTGTTTTGAAGCTAAAAGGAACCACTGATTCGTTCAGGACTCACCTGTTAGTTTAGTTTAACAATAATACCTCATTCAATTGTGCCATTGGCAGCAGCATTCTGGCTTTATAGCTTGTTTGAATTCGGTGTGGTAGCTGACACTAAACTTTATTACTGTTAAGAAGTTTCCTCTGAGGACTAAGGTGATAAGCTCAGGTTTTTTTGTGGGACAAAGCCTCTGCTGGGGACTACTGTCCTCTGACAAAACCTGTAGTTTCTGCATGTCCCTCCCTCTGAAAGCTGTTTTTAGGATTTTATGTTAATTTGGCCCCTGTCCTGTATCCATGAGGACATGTCTGGCGAATTAGCAGCTGATTAGGAAAAGTCCTTTGTCTCTGTAGTCCCAATACACAGAGTTGTTGTAATGCCCAATAGCCATAATTAACAGCAGGATAAAGTCAATTGCAAATGTATATTCTGCTTCCAGAACAGTAATGGTCAGAGATAAGAGTTGTTTAATCAAGGGACCTGACATTTAAATGTATGTCTGCTCAGTTTCTTTGACAAAGATCATCAGAAGCCGCTCGTGACAGGAACAGATATAAAACTACATTCTCCTATAATACAACAAGTTATCTAACACTATGTAATTAGATGATACTACCATACTAACATTGCTTTTCCTTAATTAAGTGGACATGCCAGAAATCTGAAGCTTCAAAGGCCACTTTTGAAAAGAATATATTAAAAGTAGGCTATGGTTTATTGTCCCACAGTGGGAAAAATCTGGTGTTTCTATGAAAAAGCAAGAAGCCAATGAAAGCATATGGACAAGACTATAAATATGAAGAAATATAAGACATAAAAAAAGCCAAAACACAAAAAACTTTTAAGCACGACAACATTTAACAGTTGTTTGAAGAGATGCCCTCCTTCGACCGAATGTATCACAGTAATCAAATTTAAGTTAATAAAAAAACAAAAACAAAGTCTTAAGAAAATGTGGAAATACCTGAAATGGTGTATTAAACACTGACAGAGCACATAAAACCTATGCACCAAACATGGTCGTGAACACAGGTTTTGCCTGTCAGGAGTACTGAATATTAGTCTGAAGCAGTTGGGTGCAGGGATCTCTGATAATGGTCCTTAATGCATTTTGGGTTTAGTATTCTTTCAGTAAGAAGTGTTCCAGCTCTCCAACAGCTTCATGCATGGGGTGTGAGACATCACCCCACAGTGATGTTACTGTGTTCAGGGGGGCATCTCAGAACAGAGCTGGTATCCCTAATGAGCTTATCCAACCACCCAGTGTACACAAACAAGGAATGTAACACTGGTTTCAAATACTTAAAGGACAGACCTTTGGTAAAAATACAGTATTTAAGCTTTAGAGGAGATAAGGGAACAATATGCCTGTTTGTGTACAGTTATTTTTCATATAAAGAAGAGTAAAAAGAAAGGCAGGTTGTGCAAATTTGCATATTTTGTTTAACAGCAGTGTAGCTGACTAACCAGAAACTAAAATAAATAGATTTTTTCAAATAGCCCCATAGCACAAACCTGAATAGATTGTGTCCAGGATGTCGGTAGAGATTCTTGATACTGGACTTTCTAAACCTATACTATCCAACTCCACTATTAATTACTGACAACGTAAATTGCAATTAGAGCACATAGCATTGAGCCTTTTATTATTCTTTGTGTAAGAAAAACATATTTTTTAGTTTTTAATATCAAAGTTATGTCCTGTCCCTCATTTTTCTCATTTGTATAGAAAAACACAAGTACGAATACTTTGAATGGGTTATTACATCTGGGACTTTGTACATTAATAGCAGTGCCGCATATATACTACTGTATGTCTAAAACTGAGGATATCATAAGAGGGTCTATGATATCATATAATGGAGGCAGTGTAAACTAAATGCATTCCATTTAAAACTAAGCATATACCGGGAGACTTCATCAAAATTGTCTGACTCTGAGTTAGATTGTGCAAAAAAATAAAAAATTATATCGGCTCACTGATGTTTTTAATATATAACAAAGAACTATAAGTAAACAAAATGCAAAGTTATTTTATGATTTTAAACGATGGGTTACAAATAGACAATTTCCACATGGAATTATTGAGTAGAATCAAGTTTAATTCCTTTTTTTAATTTTTTACTTTATCTATAAAGTGCCAATTCAGAAGACATGTCATATAAAGGCTCTTTACAGAGACAATTCAGTCAGCTGATACATTCAAATTGGTTCAGAGTTTTTATTTATTACACTAAATGAAAAAACTAATGAAAAATAAATAAAGATCAATGAATAATAATAACAGCAACAACAGCATCATTTAAATAATTATATTAAGGTTGACAATTTGTTTTATTCCTTTAAATTCTTTATGCTAGTTTTGATTATTAGAGTTGTATCTAAATACACAAGAATTATAGATGCATTACTCAAATCAACAATCTCTCTTTAATTTAACATCTGATAGACAGCGAAGAAACAAATTATATTTTATTCGGTAAGCGGTTGATGAGCTTAAAGGATGAGCTTAAAGGAGGTGCATCAAAATATTAAGAAAAATATTGTACATTCTATATAAATTAACACTTAACAAGATGACCACTTATGGAGTTCATAAAAGATTCAATATCATTTGCCAGATTTTTAGTAAAAAAAAAAAAAAAAGAATTATAACAATGAGCCCCCCAGAGCAGGTTTTACAAATTTTTTGCAGGATGAGCTGTTTTGGCTTTCCACACCCAGTCCTCTCAAAAGCCATGCTACCACAACTTGCAACCAGACTAAGGCTGGTGCTTGGTTGATGGGCTGCATCAGACCTTTTCAGAGAGCTTATTTCCCCTGATGACATCATAAGGGAAATGCTTTTCAAACAGCATTTTGAGCACATCTTAGGTGGTGAAAGGCAATTAGAAAGATGAAAGGGTTTTTTTCATTTGTGAATCTCATATACAGGCTTCAGGACACATATGGCAGTAACAAAATGTTTAGAATGTGAATTTTATGGGACCTTTAAATAATAAACAATATAAAAGGAGATGCTGACATCATGGCAAATGTAAAGTCCCTGTCCTGAAACAGCAGAAAACTAAGGGTGTACAGTGGAACTCAGATAGCTAGGGAAAAATGACAAGTGCTATATCATATCTAACAAGTTTATATGCACTCTAAATTTCAGATGTTTTGCCATGACAACTTCCAGTCCACTATAGCATTTCCTGGTTGTTTGGTATAAAGAGTGGTAGGAAACAGTTATGCATAAAGAATTTTCCACCTACATGAAAAGAAAACATCATGATGTCTCTGTGAGCATTCATCTAACTTTACCAGCTGATGAAGAATATTACAAGTCCTAATTAGATGCATTCTATCCCTCATTGCCTTTGGATATTTTTCTTTTTTTTTAGAGTGAAAAAGCAACTTTACCTGGTTTGGATGGAGGAGGCAGATTCTCAGAGAGAACCATCCTACCTGTAGCAATTTCCCACTTCACACCCAAACGTGACCTATTTCAACTGCAAATAACACTGTTCCTTATTCATCCCTTCATTTTTTTTCTTTTGCTGATTATTTTTCTTTCTATATGTGCTGATTTTTAACAATCAATTAAGTTGAACAGCCGTGTTTAGATGCATGAGGTATTCACAATACTGTGAGAAATCCTGCAATGGTAATGCAGTTTAAGAAAATCTGAGAATCGGCAATCTCAGATATTACCTATTGCCTTCTGCTGTTTACAAAATCACTTTTATTAATTAGATTAGATTAGATGAGCTTTATTGATCTCACAGCGGAGAAATTCACTTGTCACATATTGGCATAGAAGTCAAAGAAGGTGCAAACAAGGAGGAAAAAGGTGCATTAAGAATAAACAATAAACAATATATATACAGTATATCCAGGTATATACAGTATATTAAGACAAATAAGGATTAAGGTGCAAGTGTACATGTATCACACACAATGAAAAACAAAATAAAACAAAGAAATAAGAAATAAAAGAAATTATGCAACTCCAGAAATCTGAGTCTATTTGTGTTTGTTGCTGCATGTTATACTCTTGATCAAAAAGCATCTTTACTGTTACAGGAGCTCTTCAAAAGTCAAATAGATACACTATATTGCCAAAAGTATTTGCTCACCTGCCTTGACTCACATATGAGCTTAAGTGACATCCCGTTCCTAATCCATAGGGTTCAATATGACGTCGGTCCACCCTTTGCAGCTAGAACAGCTTCAACTCTTCTGGGAAGGCTGTCCACAAGGTTTAGGAGTGTGTTTATGGGAATTTTTGACCATTCTTCCAGAAGCGCATTTGTGAGGTCGCACACTGATGTTGGACGAGAAGGCCTGGCTCTCAGTCTCCGCTCTAATTCATCCCAAAGGTGTTCTATCGGGTTGAGGTCAGGACTCTGTGCAGGCCAGTCAAGTTCATCCACACCAGACTCTGTCATCCATGTCTTTATGGACCTTGCTTTGTGCACTGGTGCACAGTCATGTTGGAAGAGGAAGGGGCCAGCTCCAAACTGTTCCCACAAAGTTGGGAGCATGGAATTGTCCAAAATGTCTTGGTATGCTGAAGCATTCAGAGTTCCTTTCACTGGAACTAAGGGGCCAAGCCCAGCTCCTGAAAAACAACCTCACACCATAATCCCCCCTCCACCAAACTTTACACTTGGCACAATGCAGTCAGACAAGTACCGTTTTCCTGGCAACCGCCAAACCCAGACCCATCCATCAGATTGCCAGATGGAGAAGCGCGATTCGTCACTCCAGAGAACGCGTCTCCACTGCTCTAGAGTCCAGTGGCGGCGTGCTTTACACCACCGCATCCAACGCTTTGCATTGCACTTGGTGATGTATGGCTTGGATGCAGCTGCTCGACCATGGAAACCCATTCCATGAAGCTCTCTGCGCACTGTTCTTGAGCTAATCTGAAGGCCACATGAAGTTTGGAGGTCTGTAGTGATTGACTGCAGAAAGTTGGCGACCTCTTCGCACTATGCGCGTCAGCATCCGCTGACCCCGCTCCGTCAGTTTACGTGGCCTACCTCTTCGTGGCTGAGTTGCTGTCGTTCCCAAACACTTCCATTTTCTTATAATACAGCTGACAGTTGACTGTGGAATATTTAGGAGCGAGGAAATTTCACGACTGGATTTGTTGCACAGGTGGCATCCTATCACAGTTCCACGCTGGAATTCACTGAGCTCCTGAGAGCGACCCATTCTTTCACAAATGTTTGTAAAAACAGTCTGCATGCCTAGGTGCTTGAATTTATACACCTGTGGCCATGGAAGTGATTGGAACACCTGATTCCAATAATTTGGATGGGTGAGCAAATACTTTTGGCAATATAGTGTACCTTACTTGTTAGACTATAAATCCATGTGCCACAAAATCCCCCACAATTTCCTAATGTGTTGGTCCTGCTAAAAAGTGTTCTCTGTTTTTCTTTTTATTGCAGCTCGCCTGTTTGTTGAGACTGACACATTTGGCAGTCGTGTGAGGATACGAGGTGCAGAAAGTGGGCTTTATCTCTGCATGAACCGGAAGGGCAAACTTGTTGGAAAGGTAAAGGACAGCTTTCCGATTTATTTGTGTTGTGTTAAAAGCCACAGCGATTATCTTGTCATAAAAAAAATTACAAAAAGACAGATTTTGTAAAAGCTGATTTCGACTGAAACAGAAGGAAAAACAAAAAACTCAAAACAACAAACCTTAATTTAATTACTAAGTATATTAAATAATTTCTTTTTTGTTTAACCATCTATAAGCAAACAAGATTTCTGTTTTTCATTTAAAAAAGTAGAGATGCATCAACCGTTGGTTCTAACCTTCTTTAACAATGTAAGACTTACCTCTTAAAATCTATTTGGAAATACCACTTCAAACCTTTTTGAATCTATTGTCGCTATAGTGACTTAAGTTATGTGTAGAACAATGCTAAACATCAGTACTTCAGATACCAGAATTTTAGGCTCTAAAATAAATTTTTTATTTTTGTAATTAGGGCTGGGTATTTTCGCCAAAGTCCTGAATCGATTCGATTTTGATTCTAACAGTTCTAAATTTGATTAATTTTGCTTCGATCTGTTTTTACAATAATGAAAGCGTTTCAACTATTTTTCAAAATACTCATGTATTTTGTGTTTCCTGTCACATTAACCACAAAGTGCAAACTTGTAAATCAGACAGTTTAAACATGAGATGTTAACAAAACTGTCTCAAAAGTGCAAACTTGTTTGTGAAAAGTGAAAAATTGAAGCCTCACTTGAGCAAGCAGATGTGACACAGCAAACATGCATGAGCTGCATTATCTTCACTGCACAAACCATATTTGCAGTGTTGTCTGTAAGAACTACAGGGTGTTTTCCGGTCAGCCCCCATTTGTTAATGTCTTCAGTCAACCTATTGGGGATATATGAGTGTATCTCTCCTTCTTTTCTGAAAAAGTTTTTCTTTGCATTTTTTATTATTTTTTTTTTTTCCGCCGGTGTGTCATGTCATAGACGTGACAGACAAAAAAAAAATGCTTTATGATAACCTGTGGGTAGGACAGTGCGAGACTTGTGGCTATTTATGCCAATGAACTTATAGCACTGGCCTAAACTTGTTTATCTAACAGGGAGAAGGAGAACAGTAAAACTGCCATCAGTTTGAAGGCACTAAAACTTGCATGAGTGCTTTTCCAACCAGAGCCAGTACAGGGAGATGACAGACCACTCAATTGTCTCATAAATACGCTCATAAACACTGACAAAATCACAGGTCTTACAAGTGGATTTATTAAGGTAAAAATGTTACTTAGAGCTGCCTTAGATCATAATGAGGAGAACAGAACAGGGGAGTGTTGCTGCTGTTAGGACAAGACGGACACTTCTAGGGGACTCTTTTTGAGCTTGAAAAGCTTGAGCTTTTTCCTTTTACAACAATTCTAATGAAGTTTCAGTTTTTGTTTGGGGTTAGCTCCCCCCAGTGTACAAAAGCTGTATTGTTTAGCCTGATGTCCCCATTTCTGTTTCCAGTGGCTGTGTGAAAGATGAACAGCAATGAGGTACTGAGTTTAAGTGTGGCAAAACATTGTCATATGATGATGTTGAAAATAAGAAATATTTAACTTTGGTTTTGTACCATATTCCTGCAGCACTGGCAACTGGTTACTGCCACCCTTTTTTAAAGTTACTCAGTGCCAGTGATATTAGTACAGGTGATATTAGTACAGATGCCCTCGGGTCATGACAGAGGGGTCATTCAACTAGTTGTAAATTGACTTATGATATGAAAATATTTTATGTAGAATGAAAAGTTTCTTATAAGTAAAAAACGTAGAATCTATTACTGTGGTCATCTTACATAGAATAGAATAGAATAGAATAGAATAAAATAGAATAGAATAGAATAGGAAATCCCTTTATTGTCCTACGATGGGGAAATTCTGGTGTTTACAGCAGCAAAAAGATTATAGAAAAAAATGTCACAAGTGTGGACCTTAGAAAAATGAATAAGAATAACATAATAGGGAAGAGTTAAAGATAAACAATAAAATAATGTACTGTAAAGTGTTTTAACATTATAAAACTATGCACCTGGAGAATAACTAACCAATATACAGCTATGGACATTTTTACAGTAATGAATATTTGAAAATAACAGCAACATGGTGCATTTAGGGTGCAGCAGTCTGTCACTGAAGGAGCTGTCCTGTTCAGCAACATCTTCATGCATGGGGTGAGAAACATTATCTAACAAGAATGTTAATTTAGATAGGATCCGTTTGTTTCCCACCTCCTGCACTGAGTCCAGGGGGCATCCAGTCACAGAGCTGGCAGAGAGAATTGGCAGAAAGGCTTTATTTAAGTAAGATTTTTAAAAAGAATCAATAATTTTAAGTGGATTAAATATAATAGGTGTCATTAAATTAAACCAGTCTGGTTTGATGTAACTGTTACATGTTACATTTCAAAGTGTAGGTATTGCCAAGTGGTGGTATTGAACATCTGTAGATATTAGAGTTTCAGTAATTCCATGTTACAGTATTGTGCCTCAGGAGATTACAGTAGCTCAACCTTATTTAACAAGTCTCACAAGTCTGAGGGTTAAGTCCTTTAATCTCACTTTAGCTTTTTAACATGTTTCAGCTCTTCCCTTTACTTAAGTGGAATTATAACCAATGTGTTTATATTGTGTGATTTGAAAGGACATAAATCTGTTTATGTCATGTATAGGAGGATATGCCAGAGTTATGTTTGAATTTGTTATCAGAGAGGGTGTGGACAATCATTGTTTACCTGCTGCATTTTGTTTTTCTCATTCAGAAATTAGAACCCTGATCTTAACTGATAAGTCAGAAAACTACTACCCTGCAAGCTACAGGAATTCATAAACTCCCAAAAACACATCTTGCCAGCAGATATGTTTTCCTCAATATAGCAACGTTTCGATCTAGTGAAATGCAGTGACATGTATGATATCACCACGTCACCCAGAGGCGGAAGGCCAAAGCAAAACAAACATGGCTGCGCCTGTTCTGGCTGTGATACCTTTTTTTTTTTTTTAAACATACAAAAGGATGTGATTCCTTGCCTTTGTGGATGGGAAGAAGGTTGAAAACAATTCTGTATGATTCAACCCTTAATGTGAGAGGAAATGCATTGCATTTTGTGTATATTCCTTGCAGTATTCAGACAGTCACTAAGAAGATCAATTTGGGAAAGAAACAATGTTAAATTGAAGATGACCCACATTCTGAGTTATAGGGCTAATCTCAAACCAGCCCCTAAACAATACCCCTATGCACTAACACTCTTGAGGGCTATCCTAAAGCATTTTTTGAGTAGGGGAAGTTGACCATCCAGTACTTGAATAGCAAGTCTGCATCAGTGCAGTTCGGCTGGCATATACTTCTTCTCAATTAGCATATGCCATTTTTCAAAAATGTCACATTCCACTTTTGGCTTTCGCTGTCTCTCAATTATTGACTAAGCAGAGAAAATACAGCTTGCCAAACTTGGTATTTGTAAAGAAAAAAGAAAACCATGAACCATTTTTACTTTTTACACAACCTTTCTAATTATGGTATTGCATAAGGTCCAAAGAAGGTGTACATCCTGTATCACTTCATCTAATGGTACATCTTTGTTTTATGTTTCAGATCTCTTTGTGCTTATGTAGCTGCTAGTAATTTTCTCAATTACTGTGAGAATTGCTTGATGCATATTTTTCTGAACATGTTCTTAATAGATCTTTTAAACATCATCATTAACAAAAATATTCTCTACTTGCTCACACAGCCCAACGGCCGCAGCAGGGACTGCATCTTCACTGAAATAGTTCTGGAGAACAATTACACAGCATTGCAGAATGCAAAGTATGAAGGCTGGTACATGGCTTTCACCAGGAAAGGGAGGCCCATCAAAGCCTACAAGACAAGGGAGAACCAAAGGGAGGTCCATTTCATCAAAAGGCTCCACACCGGCCCACCACACTTCCCCAACACAGACCAAAGCAAGTTTGAATTTATCCGATTTCCAGCTATGGGTCGAGCAAAGCGAAATTGGAAATCACGTGGCTCTGTCTAACAACAAACCAAAACCTTGGATGGGTAAAAGTTGTGGAAAATGAAAAAAAAAAAATAATAATTATGACAAAATAAAAGCAAAAAACAAAAAACAGATGCAATTATTTTTGTATAATTTTGGAAGCAAAGTTGTGACATCAACGTCATAAATCTGAAATGATAACGCTGTAAAATGATTGTGTAAATACAGACAGAGAATAAAGAAAATGAATTATATTTATGCATTGATCACTGTGAAAATTTGTGTAATTGTAATTTTGACAGCTTTCGAGTCAAATCAGGTTTTTTCTTTTGAAGCCAAAGTTTAAGATACAAATGATGAGTCAGTGGTTAATGGAAAAGAAATCAGCATAAATGTGAATTTTGGTTGTTGTTGGTCTGTTTTTTTTTTATAAACTTCAAAACATGGATGTAAATGCTCATCGAGTGGTTTTTTTGATTTATAAATAATTCCAGCTACCTCTGGGTTAAGGCCAGATTATATTTTAAAGGTATTTCTCAGGTCTGGGTTAAACTTGGTTTAAAAGAGTGTGCTAATATTATAGGAAATAATTCTGCAGTCATTGCTGAGAAAATAAGCTATGAGTAAATCAGACCAGCTTTCAAAAACTCCAGCTAAAGTATACGAATGAGAAGAAACTCATGAAATGGTCAAAGTTACGTATTTCTATTCATATAGAAAGCGAATTCTAAGGCTTTGGGACAACAGCTAATCACAGTAAGAACCATTATCAAATGGTAGAGAAATATTAAACACTAAAAAACCTCATCAATTCATTCAGGAGGTAGCACAATGGTCGGAGTACTTCGAAGACCTCGTTTATCCCATCAACAAGTCTTCCATTGAGGAAGGAGAGCCTGGGGTCTCTGGGTCTGGTTCCTCCATCTCTGGTGCTAAGATCACCGAGGTGGTCAAAAAGCTCCTTGGTGTCAAGGCCCCAGGGGTGGATGAGATTCACCCTGAGTACCTTAAGGCACTGGATATTGTTGGGCTGTGTTGGTTAACGTGACTCTGCACATTGCATGGACATTGGGGACAGTTCCCCTGGATTGGCAGACTGGGGTGGTTGCCCCCCTGTTTAAAAAAGGGGACCGGAGGCTGTGTTACAACTACAGAGGAATCACACTCTTAATCCTCCCTGGTAAGGTTTATTCCGGGGTTCTGGAAAGGAGGGTAAATCGGATAGTTAAATCTCAGATTCAGGAGGAAAAGTGTGCTTTTTATCCTGGCCGTGGAACACTGGATCAGCCCTACACCCTCAGCAGGATCCTGGAGGGTGCAGGGGATTTTGCCCATCCAGTCTACATGTGTGGTGATATGGTTCTATTGGCCTCATCAGGGCGTGATCTACAGCTCTCACCACAGCGGTTCGCACCCGAGCATGAAGCAGCATGTGAGGATCAGTGCCTCCAAATCCAAGACCATAGTCTTGAGCCGGAAAAGGGTAGAGTGCCTTCTCCAGGTTGTACAGGATGTACTGCCCATAGTGGAGAAGTTTAGGTATCTTGGGGTCTTGTTCACGAATGAGGGTAAGATGGAGTGGGAGATCGACAGGCGGACTAGTGCAACATCCGCCGTGAATAAGTGTGCACTGTACCGGTCTATTAAGGTGAAGAGAGAGCTAAACCAAAAGGCAAAGCTCTCCGTTTACCGGTCAATCTACGTTCCTACCCTGGGATCTCGTTCTTTCTGTCATGACCCAAAGTTTGTGAACGAACAAACTAGAACCCAGATACAAGCCGCTGAAATGAGTTTTCTCCGTAGTGTCACTTTGCTCTCCCTTAGAGATAGAGTGAGGAGCTCAGTCATCCAGGAAGGACTCAGAGTAGAACTGCTACTCCTCCACGTCAAGACGAGCCAGGTGAGGTGGCTCAGGCATCTGGTTAAGAAGACTCCTTGACGTGTCCCTGGTGAGGTGTTTCAGGCACGTCCCACCGGGAGGAGGCCCAGATGGCGACACCGGACACAAAGGAGGGAGTATGTTTCTCGGCTGGCCTGCGAGCGCCTGGAGGAGCTGGCCCAAGTGGCTGAGGAGAGGGACGTCTGGGCCTCCCTACTGAAATTGCTACCCCTGCAACCCGATCCCGGATAATCGGAAGAAGATGGATGGATGGATGGATGGATGGATGGATGGATGGATGGATGGATGGATGGATGGATGGATGGATGGATGGATGGATGGAGATTACTGTTTTATATTAAAATCGATCCATCCACCCATTTTTACCACTGTTACCTGTCATGTCCCGCACTTTATGTCAGTTTTTAAATGTCAGTCTTGTATATTTCTTGTATATTTGTATACTGCAGAGAGTAAACGTAATTTCATTTCCCTTGTATGTCTTGTACATATGTAGAAAATGACAATAAAAGCTGACTTGACTTGACTTGATTTTCTGTCACGCTTTATCCCATCTGGGTTTACGAGGGGTGCTGGTGCATATTCCAGCTGTCTATGCACGAGAGGCCTTGTATGAAAAGTGCAGTGCACCCCATGAAAATAAGTACCATGTCCTCGATACAATGCACACGTTTGCAGACTAGCAAACTGCTAATACTCCTGCTTTTACAGTGGAAATCATATTGATAAACAATCAACAAGTTAATTTCCCTTTAGGACTAAAAGAGTATTTTTGATTTATTTTTATTACATTGATTTAAACAATATATACTGGATGAGTTTTTCAACTTTAGAAGGAGCGAGGGTATACTTAATTAGCCTCATCTGGTTTCTATGTTTCACTGAAACTCAGGACTACAATTTGTCCAGGACGACTGAACAAGTCCCTCTACAAAATAATTGAAGTGTGTGGAGAGCATAAAGTTCCTGAGCATTCACTTTTCTTTTGACTTAGAACACACCCCACATGGTTAAGAAGGCCACTTTATTTACACAATTCAAACATATAAACAATTGACGTAAAACAAGTGTCAGTTAAAAATCACTATTAAAGTAAAAACAAGTGTCAGTTAAAATCATTGAATGAGGAGCTTGTTAAAATGCAGTTCTCTATCATCTGACGCAGAACATAAAATGTTTTTAAAACCTTACAACTGAATAAAATCCTCCATGTTTTGTGTGGCTCTGTGGAAGTGAAACTCCAGCCTGATCCTGGCTTTAACGTTGCACCTTCACAGGGCCACGGCGTCAAGGTGAGGTCTCTCCTGCAGTCTGTCTCTACGGGACAAATAAATAGTCATTTTAGCTTCACTGATTAAGAAGTTTAAAAGTCTGGTCTTTGAATTGTTGCTTTTGTTTTGACAGACTCCTCCAACAAATAGAGAAGTTGCAAAACTGCCAAAAAGACTAAAAATATTTGTTGAAAGGCTAAAAATTGTCTTTAGTCTGACGCAGTCCATAAAAACATGAAAAATTGAGACATCTTGAGACAGACTGCAGAAGGGACAGTCGTTTAAAACACCTCAATTGATGACGGATAAAAATGAGTTTGTGGCAATGGCGCCGTGTAGAAACCTCCACTGGAGATGGCCAGTTCTTTTTTTAATCGGAGGCTTATATAAAGTCCTCCACTGGGGTGCTCTGCAGGGGCAGAGCTAGAAGGGGGGCCGGGGGTGGCCATTGCCACCCTAAGCCAATCATTGGCCACCCCTGTGGCCACCCATACCACTTTTTCCCTCTAATACAGACAGTGGCAACAGTAGTACTCTCAAATGGAATATTCAAACCGTTTTAATTTTTCATATATTAGCATTTACTTGACAACAAAAACAAAGTGGTTAATTATGCACATAATATACTGAAATTAAAGATAAGTACAGAATTCATGCTCTTTTCAGAACTAGATTTTATGTTATTTGGGGTAAAGAGAAAATGATGTGTCTCTGCTCATCATCTAGGAGTCCTCAGTGAAATCATAGATAAATAACTATTTTAATAAAAACGTATTAAATAATCAATTTATGTAGATATTTTTACTTTCAAATATCATTTATTTGCAGAAGGATTATTGATATAAACAAATAATGACAATGGAAAAGATTTTTGCCCCAGAATTTAAACCTGAAAGAATTGTATCCACTATATATGCGTCTATTTGTTAGTAAAGGCTGTAAAGGATAGTTTGTCTTCATTTAGAAAATATGGATGTTGTGCTCATTAATTTTCCTGTTGGAACAGTGTAGCTTAACCCTGAGGTTCTATCGCCTATCCACTTTTGGCCACCCCTCAACGTACAGTGGTTATTGCCTGGCCACCCCTATAAAAAATCTTAGGCTACGCCTCTGGTGCTCTGCCAGCAATTTTATCCGTCCATAAGTAGACTGCATGGTTCTCCAGGTGTCTTTGAGTCATTATTTTTGAGCCGGCTCGATAAACAGTTTTTTGGTCCATGCCTAATAAAACCATCTTCTGTGCGTCCAGGCTGGAGAGCAGAGGTGCGCTTTGCTCCGGGAGCTGGGTGTACAGGGTCAGGCCAGGAAAGGAGTCCGTTGGGTCTGGTTGGCTCTGTCCTTTATAGTAAGCGCAGAGAAGGCTCCTCTCCTTGGCCGACAGCTTTCCCCTCAGGAGGTCCAGGAAGCACCGCACCAGCCTGGCGGACCGTACCCCCATCACGGAAGAGCGGCAAGTTAGTGAAGAGAGCAGATGCGTAGTTTTGAGCTCTGGGTAGCAAACTTCTTGAATAACAGTAGAACAGTTATGAAGCCCTGAATTTACACATAAAAAAAAGGAATCTCGTCGTAACTAACAATAATAATAACTTAAAGCCTCATGTGAAAACGAGAAAGAAAACTACAAGCAAGAGGAAAACACTGACAGCAATGAATAACAACAAAGCTAACACCAAAACCAACAAGGCTCTGCTAACTCACGACTACTGCATGGACACCGATACCAGAGGGACGAAAAATACCCTTACATCACCATGCAAAACTGCTGTACCACACAAAAAGACGAAAGGAGACGATAAGGTCAGTTCCAATGCATCCAATGCCAAGATTTTAGAAGCTGTTGAAAATCTACAGAAAATGATGCTGAACTTTGGAGAAGAAATGAAACAGAACACGCTCTCCATTGCAAATATTGCCAAAGTGGTGGAGTTCAATAGTGCTGAAATTCAAGATTGTAAGAAAAAAAAACGAATGGATGGAAAGTGAAATTGCT